GATCGAACAATTTCCCCATGTGAGTCCGCACTTTCCATTCGGTTTCGTCATATTCGATGTCGCGCTCAACGTTTGATTTGTACGCAGGCATGCTCTCGGCCCACACAAGCCATCCAGGGAAGTCATGATCAACATAGTACTCAGCCTCCGGTTTGGCAAAGCTCAATAGATACTCCTCCGTCCAACCCTTGTTGTGTCGCTTGGTAGCCACATTGATCTTAGAAGGGAAGTGTTGATGGCCGAGGATGTAATTCTTGTAGTCATGGTTGCAAATAGCCCTAACATCAACCATCGTGAATAAGGCGATGAGAGCTTGGGAATACATGCCACGCAATCCCGGATGATCATCGATAGACCCTTGGGTTACAAGATCTATCAGATTTTCACTTGCAACGTAATCAAACCTAAGACCCATTGTGATTACGATGGTGGCTGCTCGGCTGGCGACTTTCCAATGCGATACTCTGGCCAGATTTACCAGTTCTTCAGCCAGGTCAGCTTTCTTCTTTTCAATGATGGCTCGTTTGCTGTTGATATTCCTGCGCTTATGCTGGATCTCGTCTTGAACATCCTTCTTCGGAGCGATCGCCTCAACGATGTTCCGGTCAAGAATGGCCATCCTTTCCATAGCGCGGCCATAGTCCATGATTTGATAAACCGCGCCCGAGCAAATTTTTTGTACAGAAGGTTTGTCGACTGCGCTTGCGTCGATGAAAGTTCTTACCAAAGTGGGGGCGTACTTCCAATGGCGGCCTACCGTCTTCGCGACGCTACTCAGGAGTAAAGAAAACAAGGCACCCTTGATCCGAGCGTGGTCGTTTTCTTTGATGCCTTTCTGCAGAGCCTTTATTAGGGGCGGAATAACAAGAAGGCGAGCCCCCCACACAGCTTTAAGAGCAGACTCTCCTGCACTTTGAGCATTGCGCCGAGTCTCAGTATAGAGGGAGACGCAAGATTCTGCGATATCCAGGAGTAGGATCTCGTCTAGCTGAGACCGCCGCCGAGGTGCTGCATTGTGCCTCAGGCGCTGTAAGTGGTAGACATTGGCTCTGCGAACCAATAACGGACGAGGGTAGTCTTTGCGAATGCCACTCATTTTGTAGGGATGAATGTCTGCGGCGAGAAGACGCGTGACCCTGTCGAGAACATGAGCAGATCTTTCAATGCCAACGTCCACGAACCATGACCGATAAGCTGAGTACAGGGCGCTGAAGCAAGGCACATCATCCTCCTGCTTGTCCGACAAAAACCTATGCACTTCATGAAGGACCCAGCCTGCTCTCTCCCGGATGTCGTGAATGGTAGTGTACATCGAATCGGTCTCCTTTAGTGGATAGCCGGTAGGGTACGAAAATGATTCTCTAACTGTGGCTTCGTCCGAGCTGTCAAGTAATGAATCGGGGTCTTCAGCCTGGGAGCCATCTTCACCATCTACCATATCAATATCGGTCGATGGTTTAGATGACCCATTTACCCCATTCGCTTTCGTCTGCGACGCGGCCTTTGGGTCAAATAAAACAGAGATACCAGAATTGATAAGCCGTAGGAGGACCAAGTTCCTAGTAACCTCATCCGACCATGTTTTACCACTCCCATCTCGTTTGACACTGGATGTCTCATTGGTGAGATCGGTCAGTTGCTTGAGGGCAGACTCAGCCTGGCTCTTGAATAACTCGACGGCAAATTCGAGTTCTTCACGTTTTGGCACATGCCATTTTACGGTCAAGTTATTGGGATCTGGCCGATAGCTCCAAAGCTCAGGTTGTACACCCCGGGCAGCGACATCGGGCTCATACAAGGAGTAGTCCGCAGTATAAGTGCCCGTGAGGTTTAAGAGAAGGTGGTGCACATAGTTTGAGATATGAACAGTCGGTATGCCCCTACATTTCTGTTGCATATACACGGCAATGTCGAAGAGCTCTTTTCTGTGAGCTAGCACAGCATCGCCGACATGTACAACGCACATGCTCAGCATACTAACATTCCAAACCAAGCCACGGTCTCGCGGAAGGACGTCCGTCCCAGTGGTCCTGGTGGAACCTGCGCCATTGTCGTCGATCTCAGTACGGATAGCTTGTATCAGCACTGGGATAAACCGCTTTAGAGCCTTTTCTGGGTTGACCTTGCAAACCGAGTTACAGATAAAAGCCATCGCATCCCGCGCTTGATGAATAACGTGATTCGACACGAAGTCTACAACCTTCGACAAGGCAATATCGTAATACTCTGGGGAAAGGGACGACAGAAGCGGCATGAATGTGGCAGGTAGCGTATTCACAATGTTCTCTTCGGGAGACCCATTGCGGACCCTGCTCACGTCTGGTAAATTCTCCAGTAGGGTAAAGACCCGCCCGAGAAACGATATGATGAAATCACCAAAGCCACAGGTTGAAGAACGGAGGATCATTTCTTCGGTTTCGTCATCCAAATCCCGATCATAGTTGAGTTGCACCTCAACGCCCTCTTCTTCCATACGCTCCATTTCACCCGAAATCCATTGCATCGCCAGCATGTTACAGTTTACGTCTTCCCTCCCTTGGGTTAGGTCGGCCAAGGGTATGTTATAGCAAGCAGACTGGATGAAGGATAAAGCATGTAGAGATTTCTCAAGGTCATTGGCATCAACTCCGGGCAGCGCAAGTCCCAGCAGAGTTGTCATGTGGCAGCGATATCCCTTCGTCCTTGAAATGATTCGTGAAAGAACTTGAAGGGCACGGAGCGATGACGTCGTACGGTGAACTTCTACTAAGCCTTGAAGGGATGGATATATACGTTGCAAAGCTCCGGGAAGGATGAGATGTGGTTCCAGGAAGGCCAAACTTTGTAGCGTAGACAATGAGAAGCTCATTGCCGTACCACTTTTAGCGTAGATACCCATGAATATGACATCACGGAGACAGAGTACAAAGCGACGCTTCAGGGGCTCCGTCAATCTTCGCTCTGCCGGGGTTTCCATCTCCCCGCTTTGCTCTCGATTCCACCTCATGATAAAAAAGTCGGCGAGGTAGTAGACGAGCTGTGACAAGGTCTTTGTCCAACTGCCAGAGTTCGATGGATGGAAGAATGTTTCCACTGCCTGTATAAGGCCCTCTAGTTGCGTCAGAATAGATTCTTCGGCGTCGAGGCATGCGGGAGAGAGCGACATCACGACCCATCGAGCAATGTGATGCGCCACTGGATGCTTCCTGGTGTCTCGGTCAAGCATGATGCCTAGCCCAGACGAGATATCCACCAGCGCACTGTAAGGAGAAGTGGATTGTCCTACAGGAATCTCCAACAATCTCAGGATAGCCGTGAAGATGAGGGACGACTGTTCCTTCGTGAAAAGACCAAATTCGGAGAACGGTATATGCTGGGCAGGCAACGAATCACGAGCCAGCCTCGAAAGGTAGTCAAGGAAGGTGGTATCAAATGTCTTTGACCGATTGACTAATGCCCAAAGATGAAAGTACGTCGGCAAGTAATGATGTGGCAGTAGGTCTTCCCTGGTCTCGGGCGCAGGTGACGTCGGGAGTAGTAAGTTTATCAAACCAACTACGACAAACGCACCCTCCGAAAAGGACGTGGTATAATGAGGAAGGAACTCTTCCAGCATAGCTGGCAGCTCACATGGGTCAACGTACAGCTGGACGAACGCACAGAGCTTCGTCAGTGTCTTTACATTCCTCTTTAGATTGGTAGAATGCACCAAGCCCGATTCTGTAGGTAACACAAAAGCTTTTAGTTCTCGGTAAAGAGGCTTCCAGTCCAGAGTCAGGTCCTTAACGGGCCTCAGATAATGCTTGCGTCTGTGCCGATGTCAGCACTATAATAATGAACAGTAGTTATGTCAAGTTTAGCTTACTTGGTGAGGAGCATAAACATGCTAGCAAATCTCTCTGAGACATTGGGATCGATCCCGGGGGCGAGAGAAAGCTCATAATACAGCCTCACAAGGTTGATACGGTCCGTACGGGATGGGTCAAACTTGAGAGACAGCCATCCTCTAAGCTCCCGAGTCCAGTGCACGGCACCAGGACTGAAATCACCCGCCTCCACAGCTACATAAAGCTGGGCCAGTATTTCCCGTAGACTCCGTTCCCTCTCGGTTTCATTTTCGAGCGAATATGGTAGATATTTAAAATAAGGATAGGTGCGAGGACGGACTCGTGCCTTGGGCTCGCCATTCCCGTTCATCCCTGCAGGTTCACCACCCAGTGAGGTGGCTCGTGATACTTCGTGCGCATTATGAAAATTTTCTGATGTTAAAATTGCCTTCGCGGCTGGGTGATCCATCGTCATACAATAGGATCGATGATCACTGCGGTGCAGGTATTGGGAATGAGTGAGGTTTGGGAGAGGTCTGGAAGATTCAATGTTAACTACTTTCGTTCGAAGACATAAATAATAATAGCGCGTAGACGGCCGTTTGGCAGTATGGACTTACATTGGACATGAAGATTGTAGCCCAAAGTCCAGCTGTGAAGATCGATGACAAAGAGTGACTTACTGCCAATTATGTTTGCATGGGCAACAGGAAGGGTCTTGGCTAGTAGGACGACCGGCTACAGCAATAGAAGCTTTGGAACGTTCAGAAGCTAGTACGAACGATGGTGAAAGTCCTCCGATGAAGACAGATTCGTAGACGGGGCTGTAAGGAGGAGCGTGTGCTGTCCGTGTCGCAATAAAATACAGCTCCGGCAGTTTGGGAAGTCATTCAGTTTAAGCTTCAGTGTAGCAGTTGAAGGAAGGTAGAAGAGGTATCCATTATCGCTCAGTGAGTTAAGTTTCTGATGACATAATTCCACGTAACTGCACCGCAGCCTAACCTCAGACACTAAGCTCTTTCCGTCCGCCTACCCAAAACGGGAAATCTTCCATGAGATTGAACAAGAGCATTTTATATACTTTATATAACAATACTTGTACCTTTTATTATATAATTACAATCACTTGAGCTATGAAAGCCTCGCATGTAGGCAATGGAGATAAATTTAGATATTAGGTATTAAGCTCTTATTATAAACTCATCCTACAAAGACGAAATCTGTGCAGTATCGACAAAACCTAAGCTGGTGGCAGGAAGGATCCAAAAAGAACCGCCTGGACAATTGCATAGATCACCATGCCTTGTACAGCAATCGTAAAAGTTTGACTGCGCTTAACAAGGCTACTAGGACCCGCAACATGGCTGAGAACCTGACATATAAGGTACCAATACCAGAGAGGATACCCAGAGGATATCCGATTGATGATCTGAACATGATAGCTAGTAAAAGCCATCACGGCAAGTAGACCATTGGGCGCTGCAAGTCGTGTCAAAAATGAAGTTCCTGTATCTGAAGGCCATGTCGTGTTTAACGCCCAGATAGAGGAGTGACACAGCAAGAACAACATGGGAAAGGCCAGGATAAAAAGAGGCAGGTTGGAAAGTGTCCAGTACCGTAGGAACCCTACATTCCTGCAGAGAGGGTCAGTAATTGATTGCTCCTAGATCATCGCGTGTGGGTCACTAACCAATAATGAACCTGAACCCAGCCATAAATACTAGGTATGAGCTGTTCACACCACGGTCGCAGAGGCTCGTCAGACACGCAAAATGCTGTGTACGCAATCCACTGTGGCACAATGAGCCCCAAGGCTACTGCACAGCCACCGACCACAATGACACCTAGGCGAAGCAAATTATCCCCGGATATACCTTGGGAGATAATCTTGCGCAACTGTAGCAGCGCGTCATATGCAAATAGTGTCCCGCTAAGGATTCCATTGCTGCGGACTGCCGTGGCTATTGAGAAGAATGCAGCCGCGAGCAACAGGTTCGCATCGCTGGACGCCCGCTTACCAGCGTTGGCATCAAGTAGGGAGGCCGAATATAAATAATACCCAGTAATGTTGAGAAAGGAGAATATTGATTCTCCATAGGGTGCAGAGAGAAATGCCCCTGCAGGGCAAATAATGTGTAAGGCAGCAGAAAGGAAACTAATTAACCTCCCTGAGGTGCTGTCATGACCAAAGATGTTGATGGATAGTCTGTATAGAGCCAATACCGAAAAGTAATGGGTAATATGGGAGAGGGCAATTGCAACTAGCGCGACTTTGGCAACACCGTCCAGGCCACTGAATTGAGGGAGAACTTTGCCTACTATTAGCAGCTGTCTACCGCAGGACATAAAGAACTGGATATACCGGATGTTAAAAAGGAGATGATTCTAGTGTACCCATAGCCAAATGCCCATTCTTGTTCAAAGACATAGTCATCCCGCACAATATGTATAAAGTATATTGAATCCCACCTGACCAGCTTCAAAGAAAATGAGAAGGGCGCATGCCTAATGACTTCCAATTTGGCATCGGAAGCAGCGGATTCCTGGTAAGGTAGCAGCCCGGTGGAAGTATCATAACCAGGCCCCGGGCAACCAATGATAACCAGAAACAGAAGAGCCTTCCACAACCAGAAGGCTAGTGATAGACTCCTAATGGGATTGTCGGGATTCAAGAGTTTTGGGTGGACTGAGGCCAGGCCGGTAGCCATACCTTACAAGATCCCCAGGGGACTTGATATTGAGATAGTCTAGTATTAGGTTAGTCCCGTTTCTTCCACCTCATACCATGTATAGATATCTATGAGGGGTTTTTTGGGCTCCAAAACCAAGGGTCCACCGGCGCAAATCCGTTTTAGCAAAAATATTAATAATGATAAGGATCAGTATCACCGGCCGAGGCACAGCTGCTAAACTGTTCCCCAGTCTTAACTGATGATGGTTGGAAGTCGAACGGCAAGTGGGGATTCGGAGTTTTCGGCAGAGAAGCATAACTTAAGCGGTGCCTTATTCAGCATCCCGATGCATAACTTGGAACCCGACTTAACGTAACAGACTAACGAAACTAATTTAACTAAGTACGTAGTTGAAATCCTTGCAGTCGCCACAATGATGGATCATGCTTAAATCCGATGGGCTGAAAGCTAGAGTGTAAGTAATGTAAGTAAGTAATTAAAACGGATGTGTCGATGTCATCCTTTTGAATTCATGACTGAGCTGGAAGAATGGCCACTTGAACAACAGTATCCATGGCATATACTAGGCTACAATATTATGTCATGAACATCCGAGGTGTATGTAACTTTACCCACCAAAGGGTGGATGTCCTTTCCCATCGAGAATTCTGGAAAGTGATTAACATGTCACCAACCCTACCTTGGGATCAACCAGCGGTCGATTCAGCCCTACGAAAAGCCCAGTCCATTGACAGACCCGGAATATATTCAGTCCATTGGATACTTTTCCCCAACACCACAAGTCGTAGTCACACATCATTCCAATAAATAAAAACAATTTAAAATAATTTAAAGATGGACGCAGAGGAAATCATTCTGCACTGACGGTGGTAGGGCCATTCTTTACCAATCTCTGGGTTGTCAACAAATAGCACTTTATTTTAAGTTGCATCATAGCTCTGGGAGATCACCTCTGGGCGACATGACCATACCATATATTCCCACGGCTTGATTACAACTCCGAGTCCGAGGTCAACGGGTCCGATTCCGAGGATCAGTGGAAAGAGTAAGTGATATATCCCGCATGGTATCGATCAGAGATTTTTATTTAGCGTGATGGAGACACGCAAATCTAATCTAGTCCCAATGTCCCATAGAGAACGAAATCTAATTTCCCTGAATCTAGGAGGCTACGTTGCAGGTCCCATTTTGGGTCACGCGCTCGAAATGTGGCACTCCACAATGACTACCCAGTAGCAGTATGTAAGTATGTACTGTACATGTACTCCGTACTATTGTACATACTACAGTAAACCTATCGGGATGTCTGATGTCACTGTCAAGTCTTGGTCTTTTCAATAGAAATCCCTCGGGGGGCCTAGGCGTTTTCTTGTCGGTGGCGATAGCATCTTATGATGATCACTATATGATCGTATGCATACAACCCCTACCGCTCTGTGGAGCATTTTCTGCACTATCACCGTAGGGCTGTCACATGAGGTTAGATAATTTATGCTTATGATGACCATTCTGATTATTCTTCTGCTGAACTAATCATCCAAGGAGTAGGAGGGGAGGGAGAAGAGACAGAAAAACGGGCGCACCACCCGCTGGTGGGGTGGTGTTTCCATCCAAATAGTAACTATGGGCCCTCTTTCTTTTTTTTTTCTTTCCCTGGCTACTACTGTACAATGTACCGTAATAATGCCAAGGCCAACAGTACCTGAGACCAAGAAGAATCCATGTTTTAAAAGTGCCCTTTGACCCTATGTATAGAATCATGAACTACGGAAGGAAGAAGGTTCCAGAGCATTATCAATGTCGTACAGGGGTAGGGATTTCATCGTTAGTTGAGGGCCAGAGACAGTGCAGCTGATAGATGGGAGGGGAGATATTCCGTACCTTAAGTTAACCAGTAAATGGAGCTCTAAAGAATTGGTCTGACTTGGGGAGTGGATGGTTCGATCCACACTGGTTATGGGTTGCCTTGCCCGAGCCAAGAGTCTTATCCATGGACAGACACATTGGCCGGCAGGTCGGAGGCTCGGACCTCCGTTGGCACTGTCTGTATGGGTTTTGTTCTTTCGTGTTCGGAGTCCGGAGCGCGGGAGTACTACTAGTAGGTAGTAACTAACTAACCTAGTGGGTAGAGGGTTAGTAAGCGGCAGTATAAGTGGTGACTGATGTCCGAGAGTGAGGAAGAAGAGTGTGAGACAGATAGTACAATTACTAGTTAAAAGTTAGTGTTGAGTTGTCCTCGTGCCTTATAGGGTAACGTTTGTTTTGAATCTGGAACGAACTGAAATGGTCCATGAAGATACCTAAGGAAAGAGAAGCACAAAATTAGAAAAGCATAATTGGATGGTTGATGACGGAGGTGGAAAGAACCGAAAGTTACGAATACCCAGTACGACGGCGTTCCCGGGAAAGGTGATATATCATTACTAGTGGTACTGGAGCCTCGGGCGTCGTTTAGTCCCGAAGATCGCCGTCTAGGCTGGTTTGGGGCATGACTGCGAATATTGAAGTTGCCATCTCGGTATCTTTAGAACAAATTTCCATGGATCGCCTCTTCAAAAGCTAAGTTCCGCTAGGGTGGGGACTCTCATTTTCATGCAAACCCAGCATTTGTCGGGTTTTAGTAAGTAAATATTCGATCCTCTACTTACGGTACATACCTACCTGCAAAAGAACGACAGCTCTGCGGAGCTTCCATGGAACTGTCGCCGAGGTGTGTGAGAGTAAATACTTATGTGATGATGATTATGATATGATTATTATTCTTGAGGAAGTGGATCACTGACTCTGTGCTTTTGATTTGTTTTATTGAAATTTTTATTTCTTTTCTTTTCTTTTCTTTTTTTTTTTT